CTGTGGATTCAAGTTTCTGAAGTGAATACAATAAAAACTTAGGTCATGTTCAACAACAAAAAAATTCTCTATCCATCAAAACTATCTATTAAAAATGACATTCCTAGTTAATAGTTAAAGGAGTTTGTGATCACTAGACCTGCCCTGTTAAGAACTGCTCAAGGCAGTCCTGCAAAGTTAAATGGAAGGAGATTAGACTAACTCACAGCCCTTTGGAGACAGAAAGATTTTTCTTTTAAGATTTAAGTTATTGCCCTGGCTGGTGTGGCTCAGTGGATTGAGTACTGGCCTATAAACCAAAGGGTTGCCAGTTTCATTCCCCGTCTAGGGCACATGTCTGGGTTGCGGGCCACATCCCCAGTAAGGGGTGCATGAGCGGCAACTACACATTAATATTTCTCTCTCTCTCTTCCTCCCTTCCCCTCTCTAAAAATAAATAAACAAAATCTTAAAAAAAATATTTAAAAAATTTATTTTTAGAGAGGGGAAAGCGAGGGAGAAAGAAAGAGACATTGATGTGAAAGAGAAACTTTGATTGGTTGCCTCTCATACATGCCTTGGCTGGGGACTAGGCTGCAAACCAGGCATGCACCCTGACTGGGAATCTAACGTGTGACCTTTTGATTTGAGGGACGACGCCCAGCAAACTTAGCCACACTGGTCAGGGCGACATAAAGATCTTAATAAAGGTAAATACACGGGCAATTATAAAAGCTAGCATTATTATAGCAATGGTTTGTAATTGTACTTTTTGTTTTTTTTTAACAAGATTTAAGAATCTAATACATTTAAAGGAAAAAGTACTTGCTAGTATAAAAGCTTAGGTATTACTGTAACATTGGCTTGTTAACTCCAAATATTGTTTTCTACATAATTTGTGCAGACTATTATATTAAAAAGAATTATTCGTTTGTGTTTTTGGACATACAGTATATAAAGAAGTACTTTTGTGACATCAGTGATCCAAAAGGATGCAGACAGAGCTGTAAGGGGGCAGAGGTCTTGTATGTTATTGAAGTTAAACTTGTATAAGTTCTGAGTGTTATAACTTTAGGTTGTTAAATGTAATCTTATGGTAGCAACAAAGAAAATAGCTATAAAGTATGCACAGAAAAAAATGAGCAGTGACTGGTGTGGCTCAATTGGTTGGGTGTCATCCTGGTGTGATTCCTGGTCAGAACACATGCCTGGGTTGTGGGTTCAGTTCCCGGTTGGGGTGCGTATGGAAGGCAACCAATCCGTGTTTCTCACATCAGTGTTTCTCTCCCTATTTCTCCCTTCCTTCCTTCTCTCTAAAATCAGAAAATAAAACTTCTAAAAAAGGATATGAGAAAGGAATTTAAACATTTCACTATACAAAATTAATTAAACACAAAAGAAGACAGTAATGAACATAATGAGGGAGTAGGTAAACAAAAGCACAATGACAGAAGAAGCCCCTCCTTATCAGTAATTACTTTAAATATAAATTGATTGAACTTTGCAATTGAAAGACATCCATTGGCAGAATGGATAAAAACACATGACCTTTCACTCTGGCTAGTGTGGCTCAGTGAATCGATTGCTGGTCTGTAAACCAAAAGGTTGCTGGTTTGATTCCCAATCAGGGCAGGTGCCTGGGTTGTGGGCCAGGTTTCCCTTTGTGAGCATGCGAGAGGCAATCAGTAGCTATCTCTCTCGCACATCGATTTTCCTCTCTTTCTCCTTCCCTTCCTTTCTTTCTAAAAATAAATAAAATCTAAAAAAAAATACACATGACCTTTCTATATGCTGTCTGGAAGAGACTCACTTGATATCCAAATGCAAGTTAAAGTGTAAGGATGGAAAAAGATACTTCATGCAAATATTAACCAAAGAGAGCAGAGGTGGCACTATATCAGACAAGTCAAACTTTAAATTACAAAAGGTTATAGGAGACAAAGAAGGGCATTATACAGTAATAAAAAGGTTTATACAGCAGGAAATTATAAAGACATATATATACTATCAAAATATATGATGCAAAACTGACAGAATTGGAGGGAGAAATAGTTCTATAATGATAGTCAGAGACTCACAATAATGTACAGGACAACCACATAAAAGATAAGGAAATAGAGGACATGAACAACACAATAAATGAACTAGATCTAACAGACATATTCTGAACACCCTACTCAACAACAGCAACTTACACATTCTCCTCAATGGCACAGTAGAATGCTACTCAGCCAAAAAAATGGAGGAAATCTTACCCTTTGCAACAGCATAGGAGGACCTGGAGAACAGTCAGAGAAATACAGATTTTTCCTTATAGACAATATGTTAGGCCACAGATTAAGTCTCAATAGATTAAGAGAGATAATCCTACGAAGTGTCTTCTCTTACCACAGTAGGATGACGTTAGAAATCAATAACAAAAGTAAAACTGGAAAATTCACAGAATTGTGGAAATTAAACAATATACTTTGAAACAGCCAATGGATTAAATAAGAACTCCCAAGGGAAATTAATAAATACTAGGGATGAATGAAAAAGTCAGAACATACCAAAAATTAAGGGATACATTGAAAGCAGTACTAAGGGTGATATTTGTAGCTATAAAGGCTTTAAAAATGTGAAGATCTCAAATGAACAACCTAACTTTAAAACTTAAAAAACTGAACACATTATACCCAAAGCTAATAGAAGGAAGGAAATAATAAAGATTACATCAGAGATAAATAGTGAATAAAAAGAGTTCTTTAAAAAGATCAATAAAATTGACAACTTCTTAGTTGGACTAAGAAAAAAATAAGACTCAGGACATCTGTAATAGTGTCAACAATAAAAAAATGAAAAAAATAAAAATTTGCATAGTAAAAAATATTTTGAATGTCCAATAAAGCTGAATGAAAGAGTTCTTTTATATTAAGAAAGAAAAGATATAGAAGCATTTCCATAAAGCAATTAAGCTAGTTCTCCCCTCCAAGTACCTACCGGGCCCAACCCTGACCCTGACGAGATCGGGTGCGTTTAGGGTGGTATGGCTGTAGATGAAACCAGTTCTTAAACAAACTCTTCTGAACCCAAAGCTTTAAATAAAAGGTTATCTCTTTTAATAATCACCCAGAAAAGTTATATACTGTAATGGAAAAATGTCCAACTACAAATAAAACTTGGGTTTCTATTAAAAGAAAAAAGAAAGTGGAGATGTTGTTACTACTGGTTCTATAGAAGTAAAGAGGATTATAACACAGCACTATGAACAGTTGTACTCCCTCAAAATTGGACAACTTTGATGTAATGGACAAATATTTAGAAACAAAACCTACTGGTGCAGCCACTATGGAAAACAGTATGGGGTTTCCTCAAAAAATAAAAAATGGCACTGCCGTATGACTCAGCAATCCCACTTCTGGAAGTATATCTGAAGAAAACTGAAATGCTAATTCAAAAGAATATATGCACTTCTAGTCCTTTGCAGCGCTCTTTACAATAGTCAAGATTTGGAAGCAGCCCAGTGTCCATTAGTAGATGAGTAGATAAAAAAGCTGTGGTATATTTGCACAGTGGAATACTACTCAGCCAAAAAAATGGAGGAAATCTTACCCTTTGCAACAGCATAGGAGGACCTGGAGAACAGTCAGAGAAAGACAGATACCATGTGACTTCCCTTATATGTGGAATCTAATCAACAAAACAAACAAAATATAAACAGATTCATAGAACAGACTGACAGCTGTCAGATGGGAGGAGTGCTTGGGGTCTGGGTGAAAAAGATGAAGGCATTAAGCAAAAACAAAACAAACCAAACTAAAAAACACATAGACAAGACAACAACAGTATGGGGATTACCAGAGGGAAAGGGGGATGGGGGCACGTAGAAGAGGGTAAAGTGGGGGGTGGCAAATGGTGATGGAAAGAGACTGGGTGGTGAACACACAATGCAGTATACAGATGATGGGTTGCAGAACTATACACCTGAAACGTATATAATTTTATTAACCTATGTCACCCCAATAAAAGTTTTTTTAAAAACCTACCAAGACAAAATCATGAAGAAATATAAAACTGAGTTAGACCAATAACTATTATGGAGATTGAATTAATAATAAAAAATCTTCCAACAAAATAAAGTCCTGGATCTGACAGCATCACTTGTGAATTCTGCCAAGAATTTAAAGAGGGAATAATACCAGTTCTTCTCAAACTTTTCTAAAAGAGTGAAGAGGAGAAGATACTTTCTTTTTTCTTTAAATTTAATCTTTATTGTATCTTTTCCCATTACCATTTAGTCCCTTTATACACACTCTTCCCAGCCATCACCACACTGTTGTCCATGTCCATGAATCCTTTTTCCTTTTTGCTCAATTTTTCTCTCCCCTCCCCCCAACTAGCTGTCAGCCTGCTCTCCATCTATGAGTCTGTCCCTATTTTCCTTGTTAGTTCAGTTTGCTCATTAGATTCCACATATGAGTGAAATCATTTGGTATTTGTCTTTGACTGGCTTATTTCACTGATAATGTTCTCCAGAGAGAGGCTACTTTCTAACCCATTCTTTGAGGCGAGCATAACCCTGGTACCAATGCCACACAAAGACACTACAAGACAAAACTGTAGATCAATATCTAATTAATCTAGTGGTATAGATTAAGAATTTTTTAGTACAGTTTATTATCAGAGTAAATGTTAAAATCTTATTTTTATGAAAACTTAATTTGGAAGATTTTGCCCTAAATACATGCTCTTAGTATCTATCAGTGAAAAGAGTGTGTTATCTCTGGGAGTGGTATTATTGTAAATATTGTGTAGGGGTAGGGGCAAGTGGGGATGGTGGGCATTCCTTTTTTGAGTCCTATAATACTGTATTGTTTGAGTTCTTTTTTAAAGTAATGAATTTATGCTTCTTTTATTAAAATGATAGAAAGAAAATAGTTTTTAAAAAATAGTTTTAAAAAAATGTAATGACATAAGGGTAAACTTTTAAAAATGTCCTCATAATTAAGCTCATTTTGTGCTTTTATTAATTTTGGTTTTAGGCTTGTGTGGACGTCAGAGCCAGTTCAGCGTTTTGGCAGCGGCTGGAACTTGCAGATAGCCTCTCTGGTCATCCCAAGCTGCCAGAATGGTTGTCCACACACCCTTCTCATGGAAACCGAGTTGAGCACTTGGATAGACTCATACCTGAGGTGAGTTAACACTATATAAGGTGAGACATTATTTTTACTGTATCATTTATTTTTTTTTTTTTCTGTTTTGTTTTTTGGGTTTTTTTTTTTTTTTTTTTGTGGGGGGGTTTTTTTTTTTGGTTTTCTTAACACCGTTACTTCTTGTGCTTAGAGAAAGAGTTCTAGGTTGTCAACTATTTTGATCACTATAATTATGGATTACCAGTTTTCAAAGAATTTGACTGAAAAGTAAAATCCTCCTGTTTGTCTGCAGGTCTTAAGATACCTTTTAATTTTATCTGATTTGGTGGAAGTCTAAAATTCAAGGAATATCATTTCAATGTATTGGTCATAATTTAATCTTTTCTTGGTGATTTTAGCTTATTATTTCAGTTAATGATTTGTGCAAAATTTTTGGAAAAAGCTAAAGCAGCTTTTTCCCAAGTAGTTTTCACTACCTTTTTAAAATCATTTGATTTGTTAACATCATTTAAAATGTTTGTTGTGGTATGCATATCAGTACAAGATGGATGTCAGACGTCTCTCAACCCGGCTACACTCTTATTTCTGTCTTACTTATGTTGGCAGTATGACTTCAAATTTAGCCTAACAAATATTGAGTACCTAGTATAAGAAATACTAGTAGATAAAGGGGATACAAAGAGAATTAAGACATGGTTTTTTATATTTTCAGGAAGCTAACCTAAGTACAGAATGATTCTTAATACAACAAGGAATATGATTTATAATAAGAAGGGTAGAAATATAGTGGCATGCAATTTGAAGGAATAGCCTACATCTAGTTTGGGATAAGAAACTACCACGAGCTTTGTTTGTTCATTCATTCATATGATTAATATTGAAATCTACCATTCTGTGTTCTGTTGCTAGGAACAAAACAGTCTCTGCTTTTTTGGAGCTAACATTCATGTTAATACAAATGCTTGTTAACAAACAAGCATACATATAGTATCTCAAGCAGAGATAAACACATTGCAGAAAAATAAAGTAGGTTAAAGGTAGTAGAGCTGGGCAGCATAAAAGGCATACTGGTCTGTGTTCACTTGTCAAAGAAGGCCTACCTTAACAGAATCTGGAAAGAAGAAGGGGTTCAAGCCCTGTGGATATCTGGAGAGAGAGTCTTTCAAGCTGAGCAAGTTGGACGTGCATAGGACATGAAGGGAGAGTATTTTTGGCGTGTACACAGAACAACAAGGAAGATATTGGGGCTGAATGAATAAAGGAAGATGAGAATGGTTGAGGTATGGGGAACCAGACCATGAAGGGTCTAAACCATTTTAAGGACTTAATTTTTATTCCAAGCTTTATAAGAAGCTGGTAGAGGATTTTGAGCAGAGGAGGGACTTGATCACTTCATCTGACCCATGTGATGACTCGTGTTTTATCGTGCTCACGGGAGAGGGGTGTCCTGTGTAAAGAGCAGGCTGCAGTGGGGCAAGGGTGAAATCAGGGAGACTAGGAGGCTCTTGCAATAATCCTGTTAACAGATTATAGAGGCAAAAGAGAGGGAAAGAATCAGTCAGATTTTGGATATATTTTGAAAGGAATGATGATAGGATTTGTTGACAGTTTGAGCATGCCCTGTGCCTTTCATTAGCACTGGGACCAGTCAGACATGGACTCTTAAGAACTGTCCTAAATATATTTCATTTATACTCTTAATGTGAAGAAAAAATATTTGAGAAAAAAATAGCAATGACATTTACTTGACACACCATGTAGTAATCATTCATCTTCAAAGTACAACATAGGACTGGGACAGTATATGTTTTAGCAGCAACTAATTTGTCCTGAAGATCACTGACTTGGAGAATCTTCTCAAGTGCTACCCAAGACCCAGGGAACTGATATTACTGTAGGAGGCTTAACCTATCTCTAAAGCCATAATAACCACATGGTTTTCTCTGAGAATTCCATTTCTTTTTATTTTTGCTCATGAAATTCTAAAAATATGTGGCTTGCTTAAATTGGGTAATGAATTTTAGCCAACTTTCATCTGAATTCTAAGTTGTCACTTCTTAACTGAAGATAACTAAGAATCTTTAGAGAAGTAAAAATGTGCTTTAGAGAAGTCTTTAAAATAATAATGAATTGTTTAGTGAATATGAAGAAAAATGATTGGAGAATAAATATGTTATTTGGGCATCAATGATAAAGAAAAACATTGGGAGATTTTTTTTTCCAAAAAATAAATTACCCTAGTTCAGAAACTGAAATTGAAAACGTTATATAATTTCTTATATTTTTCCCCCAAGTGATTAAATTCAATTTGAAAGTAATAAAACTCTATTACAATATTGGGAATAATTCAGTGGTTGAAGTAAAACTTATAGTTCGTATGACAGTATATTGTTAATTAGAATACATAGTCATAATTCAGAGATTGGAATTCCCTACTACCATTTCTAATTTCTATAATGAAAGAAAACAAATCCTCAGGCAGTATATAGAATTGTGTGTGTCTGTATAGTACTGAAGAGTACATTTTGTTTGATTTTATTTAATATTTTTTTCTACTTAGTACAGTATATTCTATCTAATGTATTATTTGATGTTTCTGGCAATATGTCTGAAGTGAAGCACATCTCAAAGGTAGTTCGAGTACAGCACCAGAGCAGAGAAATCTAGGCCAGAGGTGAGGATTTCAGAGTCACCCCTAAAAAGATGATAGTTGAAGCAGTGAGAGTAGATCAGTTCATTAAGGAAGGAAGCAGATAAAAAGATGTGGACAGTATTAGGTCCTTTTTGCATTTGATTGGTAGAAGGAAGAGCCTGTAATAGATTTCTTGGAGGAGAAAAGATCAGGAAAATTCTTTGGTTTCATGAGAACACAAATTTTGGTGATTTTGATTTTAGAAAAAGTAACTTAACAAAGATTGTATTTTTTTAATATATTATCATCACAGAAATGTATTATTTTTTACTATAGCATATCAACATTTAAAACATAAGGTGTCTTAAAACTATACGCATTTAACAAATATTTATTAGTCATCAATTACATGCTAGATTGTAGGTGTTGTAGTTGCCGTGAAAAAAATAGGCAAAAAACCTTGCCCTTATGAAACTTATTTTGCAGTGAAGAGAGATAGACAATAAATAAAATAAATTAGTGCCCTGGCTGCGTGGCTCATTTTGTTGGAGCACCCTTCTGTGCACCGAAAGGTTGCCAGTTTGCTTCCCAGTCAGGGCACATGCCTGGCTTGGTGGGTTCAATGCCTGGTTGGGGTGCGTATGGGAGACAACCAACCAATGTTTCTCCCCACCCCCGCCGGCCCCCACACACACACTCTCCCTCCTCCCCTCCCCTCTTCCCTTCTTTCCTTCCTCCCTCTCTAAAATCAGTGGAAACATGTCCTCAGATGAGGATAAAAAAATAGAATAAATTAGTAATATGTAGAATAAATTACCAATATATTATTATATATTAGTCAGTATTAGGGAGGAAAACAAAGGAGGAACAACAGTGTGTTAGTCAGCTTGGGCTGCCATAACAAAATGCTTGTAGACCTGGTGGGTTAGCAACAGGAATTCATTTCTTCAGAGTTCTGAGAGCTGGAAATCCAATAATAAAGTTCTGGCTCATTTAATTTCTGGTGAAGTCTCTTCCTGGCTTGCAGATGGCTGGCTTCTGGCTGTGTCCTCACATCCGTGGTGGACAGAGTGAGACACTGATTTCTCTTCCTCTTCTTTTGAGGGCAGTAATCCTATCGTGAGGGCTCCACCCTCATCACCTCATTTAAAACTAATCATCCCCAAAGGCTCCTTCTCCAAATATATTGGAGGTTAGGGTTCTAACATATGAATCTGTAGGGGAAACAACTCAGTTCATAGCAAGTATGTAATGTGTGACCAGAGATGGTACAAATGCTGGAATAGCTGTTTTAAAAGGTGTTGATTAGAAAAGTTTCACTGAGAAGATGGTATTTGAACAAAGACTTAAAATAAGTCAGAGAGTCATTCCCTGGGGGTTGTGGTGGGGAGTCTTTGGAGTGGGGCGGGAAGTAGAGCCTTCCAGGCACAGAAAGTACAAGGCTCTGAGGCAGGAGTGAGCCTTCTGTAGTTGAGGAACAGCAAGGAAGCCAATATGGCTGGAATAGAGTGAGCAAGAGAAAGTGGAGGGTGCGGGCCTTGTGGCCCCTCTGTGAAGACTTCAGCTTTTGCTCACACACAGGACACCAGTGGAGGGCTTTCAGCAGAGGACTAGAGGAGTAACAGGATCTGACTCACAAAGGATGTGATCGGCAGCTCCTACAAAGCACCAATAGTACAATCATATAATTTTGGAGTACTGGTATTTTAGATTAGTATATTGTTTAGAAAATATACTATTTCCTTATTTTGTTTTGTTTTTAAATCAAGAAAATACCCCCCAAAGTACAAAACCATATATTCTTGCTATTTTTTAACGTGAATTCTGAGGTAAACCATGTATAAATGCCTAGTTAAATATAATCCTGTTATCCACTAGCATTTAAAAGGGATAACTATAGGGTTGTAGTAATGATATTATTTGTAGTTCATAAGATGATATCTTAATGATTTTATTTACTTGAAATAATCAGTTAAATTTAGGAAACATATCCCACATATTTTGGTTACCATAACAACTAGGGTGAAAAATTAAAGAACAGATGTTCTATCAACCTGTTGATTTTTAATAGTATGACAGTTTTACAATTATAGTTATACTGTTCAGAATTTAAATTTGTGTATAACATCCATTGTCCTTGAAAGAGATACCTTTTTTAAAAAAAAAACCTTCTTTCTATAAGGATTGTTATAAAATATGAGTAGACATGAAAGAGGGAAATTGTTTGATAACCCAGGGTAAAAATTTACTTGAAAAATTAATTTTACTCCTGAAGGCATTTATACTGAATTTTTAATTTTCTACTTTCACCAACTCTCTGTCATCTTTTCCTTGGGGTGAGGGAGGAAGTGGAGGGTGATAAAATATATAGGAAAAACATTGAATTAGGACTTAGTAGTTGGGGGTT